GTAACAGGTAACATCACGGGAAGTGGGAAAATGAAGAAAGGTGGAGCAAAGGAAGAAAGGCAAAAGGAAAGAGGCCAAGCGTGAGACTTGGGAACACCAGAATTAGTGTATGAGATCAAGTTATTAGTACATCTAGTCTAATATCATGTTTTTAGCAAGTCAGGAAAGTCTAGGAAGCTTCATTCTCCTTTTTGGTTCTATCTTGTTTTCAAGAAGGAGAGGTGGATGGTGCATAAAACTCATCCTCATGCAGAGCAATGGAGGCAGAAATTGCATCCATTTTTGTTACTGATTAATGGGCTTAATTTCCTTTTTTTCCCATAGCACAACATTAGAAAGTTTTCTGCTCAGTTCATGTTCTAATATTTATTGATATGTATAAATATATTGGCACAGAAGGTTCTTGAGAGGCTAGAAGGGCGTGTCTTGTATCCGAAAGTTAAATAAAAATTCATAACACATACATAACAAATTCATTGAAATTCAAGGAAAAGCTAAAATTTGGTTCTTCTCAAGCCAAACTTTGTATTCTCTTCCCTGGCCTTTCTTGCTATATTTCTAAATCTTGAACATATTGGAGGCATATGTTAAAGATTCCTACTACCCTTAAGAAATTAAGTTGGCAGTTACTGTGATAGCTGAGTCAATTTTGTTTATTTTGCAGAATGGCAACCCACAGAAGAATCTTCTTATCTCTGAGAGATGCTCTGGCTTTTCAAATTTCGAGGAGAATACCCAGAAACTAGAATTTACACTGACAGACGGAACAGAGTTATGCATACAGGCTGAGAAAACAGAAAGGTATGAAAGCTTCATGAGAATCGAGACTGTAAAATATGGGTCTCAGGCTAGAGAGGATCCTAAAGACCATCTCAGCTTGGCTGATATCTATCTAGATTATTAGTGCTGCCGTATTCCTACTAGGAATGGACCTACAGAAGCTACACAGGTAGTGTGCTTTGAGGGCATTTTGGGAAGCGTTCAACAAGTGAGAATCATTCAATCTGGGACTTGTCTTGTGGGCGGACACTTCCTAATAGACTGATTGCTAGTCCTCTGTGACTGAGACTGGCGCTGTCTGTAAGAAAAACTCTAAGTGAAGAAATCAGAGGAAATATTTAGGAGAAAATATCTACAGCTAGTGTGATGATAAAGAAGAGGTGTTTAGAAAAGCTGAAAGATGCCATCATTTTAAGAGAGTGGACATCTGAAAGCTTTTTAATAGAAGCAATGATCTACCAATACAGTTCAGAGGAAAATGTAATCAGTGAAATGCTGTTTGTTCTGTTTAGCAAACGCTAAGTCTAGCAGAAGTTTGTGTACTAAAGGAAGGCTAGCAAAATGGGGGAATTAGATCTTCTGGTTCCTGACACAGAACTGTCAAGGGAGACAGAAACATGCTGAAATAGCAGTCAGGGCTGGATATAGTATTAATAGGTGGCTGCTCTTCAGGAAAGTTGTACAGAAAAACAAAGGTGATGAACTAGCTTTGTACATTAGCGCTACAATAGGTTGGGGAAGAAATAAGACATGACGGCAAAAATAAAACAGGATAAGGATCAAAAGCATGTCAGGAAGGACTGTAAGAGAGCTTGCAGTAATAGTAAGAGAAGTCTTCTAAACAAGCATAGGTTCACTTCAGAGTGTGCAATGACTATAGAGATAAAGGTGGTACACAAAACAGAAATGACCAAAGTGCTATATATATACATATGTATTTTTTTTCTACTTTTAGTGAGGTTGGTTTTGATGTTCTGAAGGTGGATGGTGTGATGTAAATGAGTGCACTGTTGTGGAATGAAGACATAAAAGTGAAAGCTGAATTCAGAAAATATAGTGTGTTCAAATGAAAAGGGTGGAAAAACAGGCTCAAATACCAACATCACTGACACTTAGTCTGCCAAACCTGACAGCAGAGATATTAGCTGATCTATCACATTGAGAATGGTACACTAAGTTGCTTGACAAAAGTAAAATGATACATATATGTAAGAAAAGTAATTTAGCTGTTAAGAAACTGATTAGTCTGACCTCAACAGCAAACAGGACTTCAGAACAATTTTTGAAGAAAAATTGTTGAAGGGGAGAAATAATTAGATAGAGTAGGTCACTGGAAAGTGGGATAAAAGCAGCAGATGCTTACAAAAGTGTGTCAGACTAATTGATATCAACTATATGATAAAAATGGATATAAAGGGAAAGGCAAATGTGAGGTACTGATCTTCTTGGAGCTCAGGGAAGCAACTGATATGGGAAACATGGGAAATTAGTTAGGATGGAGAACATAGGCGTTTGATGAAAACTTTATTAAGTGGGTAAGGACTAGATACAGGCAAGAGAGACTGCAATTGCTTGGGCTGAAACATAAATGATTGGCCTGAAGAAAGGCCTGCAGGCTTTCTCAAGTATCAGTGGTAAAACTGATCTTCTTTAATATTTCCATTAACTTAACCTTAAAAAACAAATGGGAGTACAGAATGATTAACATTTTTGCATGTTATTAAGCATCACTGATGAGGGGAGAATATATATATATAGAATATTTGGAGGCAGAAGTAGTGTGAAAAAGTGTGATATCATCTAGCAGAATGCAAGATCTAGTATGAAGAATTTCTGCTCTAAACCTTGTACTTATTAATGGCAAGTAATAGTGAAGGAGAATAACTGCTATATGTTGTCTGTCACGGTAGATTATTGATCAGCACTGCAGAGTGGCGAGGGAGAGGGTAGATCTGAACCCAAGGTCTAATTAGCAAAGTGTTGCTAGCTGACAGGCAGAAATATTAACGCCAGCCTAAGATCTTATGTCGAACACAATTCTGGCTGGTCATATTCAGGTAGTACAAATTCAAACAACAGGTGTATGGAAGAACTGTTAAAATCATGAGGCTACTGGAGGTTATACCATTAGAGAAGGATTTGAAATGTCAGCTGTGAGGGGATACGATATTTATTATTGTTTTAAAGTCAACATCAAAGAAGAAAAAGAATTATTTGAAGCCAAGGAATAATATTAGGACAAAAACAAGGCCATGCAATGGCTACAAATATATGTGTAGAATTAGAAGCATTTCTTAAGTCAGAAGAATAGGGGCTAGAACTACCTTTCAGATTTGAAATCCAGCTAGTATAAAAAAGAAAGTCAGTGTATGGGAGATTACATGATGTGCAAAAAGGGAACAGAAGACAGTTGAATTCATTGACTCAGGAGATCCCTTTCAATTCTCTGTACGTGACTATGCTACAGTTCTCTGCACCTTTTGTCATTCCAAAGTATTCCCAAGCTTATAGCACATGAGGGAGGCACTGCCTTCCTTAATGTAATGCAAAATACTTTTTGTACAGATCTATAACATGTGTTCCACAGACTTCCCTGATTTATAGCTCATTTCCAGGTGTACCTCAGCTCACATGTTTATGCAGCATTGGGCAGAACACAATCCCAAGCCTGATGTGATTCCATAGTGCAAAGAAGAAGGTATAAAATTAATAATAAAAATATCAAGTTCTGAACTGTTTCGTTCTTTTTGATTTGTGGTCTGTGTATTTCAGAGCCTGAATCAGCTGATCTTCAAAGCTCATGGTAGAGCTCAATTTCAAGCACTATCCAGCTTGCCTTCAAGGAATAAACTTTTGAGGTTCGGAGTTGAGGCTTTATGGACCATCTTGAAACTTTTATCAGTTTTGAACTATTTAGCAGTAGAGTCACTTGCAGACTGCACTGTATATACACTGAAAGACTGATGATAAGTGAACTGTATGACTTGAAAATAAACTGCTGAGTAGTCAAGTTTAAGATATACAGATTAAAGAAAATTAATTTTGATTTGGTTTAATTATATGCACTAAATTCCTCTTCCCAAAGATAAACAAAAACTTCAGAGTTGGAATTTTACTCTGGGGAATGAACGTTCATCATCGTCTAACAACAGGGAAATGTTCTCATTTTGATATAAAGGTTTACTTGACTTTCATACTGTGAGTTTCCTTAGAATGAAACCAGCTATCTCTTATTCTTTATTTGACCTTGAAAATTCAAGTGTCTGTTTTAATAGGTGCAGAGTACCTTCAACTTCTGTGACTTTCCTGGCACCGTTAAGTGCTCAGGCTCTCTTAGTATCCCACCCTGACTCTATTATTCATATTTATAAGGAAGCTCAAATAACACAGTTTGCCAGTTGTTGAGAGAAAGAAATCAAACTTTAAAGAGAGATAGAGGGAAAAATAATGCTGTGCTGCTTAATTTTGCAATATTAATTTTAACTAGCCTCAGTAAGTGTATAAATGAAAGGAGGAAAATCTTTCTTAGTTCTGCCTCTCCTTACTGCATAAATCCCCTATTTTTTCTTATACAGGATGACCCTCAATGACTGAAGCTGGGACTGAAAAAACAGCTGCATTGTACTGCAGATTCCAATCCTGCTACAGCTATAAGCTGTAGGATTCAAATGAACCAAACAGGATTATGCTGAAGGGCAGTATAATACTTAGTGTGAATAAAGGTATGAGGAAAGACACATTTCTTTTGGGGTAAGCTACTTTTTTTTCCCTCCCTCATGTTTAAATAGCCCAATTATGATCTCAGATGTATTGGGTCTAAATAATAAGCAGCAATTATTTTCTGTGATATGACGATTTATATATGAGTGCCTTCTTAAAACAAATGTATTCCACAATAAACTAAAGGTATTTCAGTCCATTGCAGTTGATTATTACTTGCATGCTTTTTTCTTTACCTTAAGACAGGCTGTCCTTTACTCGCTAATCTCTGCAAGGTTGTGACTAAGTGCTGTTAGACTGCGTAACTTTCATGTTTTTACATTTCTTAGAAATAATAATAATGCAATTGAATCAGAAAACAAAAGGTTCAGTCACCAGTAATAGTATTAAAAATAGTGCAGCAGAATGAAAAATTAAGGATCATTAAGCATATCATTTTATCTCCCTTAGCAGTTTGAAGATACTGGTACTATATCATGGATATAGCTGTATTTGCTTACCTTGAATGTGAATAATACTTTCATGCTCCAGACTTGAGTTGTCAGGGTGAGGTTCAGCCCAGCAGATAGAAATCAGCACCAGAAAAAGTAGACTCCTCATCTTTACAATCAAAAGAATCTTCTTCACTGTGAAGGCGTCAGACACAAAGAGGCTTGTGAAATTTTGGAAACCTTTACAATGTTGCACTGCCCAACTTGTTACAGCTAGTGATCTTGTAATGGATCTTGTAATGGATCTATAACATATTTAACCCAGTCAGCTGAAAAAGTTACAATAGCTAGTAGTTTTTCAGATGTGAAGATTGGACCTTTTTATCATGGGTTTTCATTAAATGAAACTGGGAATCAGTATTTAACTCTGCCTATGCAAAAAAACAACATGAAAGAGTAAAAGCACATACACAAAAATGCACAAACCAAACTCCTTGCAAAACCGTATGTAAGTAACACTAGTGTTTGAGAAAACTGTTTCAGTGTACTTTTGCTTTTCCAAAGATACTCTAAATCTGGTCTATCAATACAATTAAAATGATCTAAAGCTATCACTATGTCTGTATTTACTGTATGATGAAATCTGCTGACGGCAGATTTCTAGGATTAGAACAATTTTTGCATAGCTTTTGACATTTTAATCAAGACTGCAAGTTAACTTAGCAGTCAGGGTGGTAAGTTTGCTTGATCTAAGCACTAAAGATGACAAAACATTTCTCAGGCTGATCAGAAAGGTCTATTTGATTTCAGATCCACTTACCATTTTAAAGGATGCCTAAATATACAGTGAAATGTTGGAAACCATGCACAAAGTAGGTTAGAGTTGTATATGCTACCACTGCAGTTGCCCTGATTGATTTTTCATTCATTTCTACCTAGAATGCTGACGCACTAACTTAGCGTGCCAGGTAGGGTCTCTGCAGTCAGCAGAGCTGAGCGCTGCAGGGAAAATCTCTGCCAGCCTCTGAGTAGTAATTAGGCAAATGTAGACCTGAAATAGATAAGAAGGCATAAAATACAAGAACTTTCAGTCTGATGTCTGTTCTGTAGCAATCATTTTTAGGATCCTGAATTCTTGAAATAAAGGGCAGTTATTTCCCAACTTTGTCTTTCAAGAGACTGGATTTTTTCCTCCAACTGTCAGATAAAGACAGCATGGTTAGTATGCTCTTTCTAATCCACAGAGAAGTTTACATTCCTCTTTTGCCTCTAACAGAGCTATCACAATTGCAGGGTGCTCTTGGTCAGAACCTAGTTCAAGATCTGAGCTTTGCAAACAGCCTCTGTCCCTGAATAGATTTAAACCTCCTCGTGTTTCAAATCAATATCCAAGTATTGTAATCTGAGCCTGTCTCTGTTGTGGGCTATAAGGCACAAATGTTATTGCCATTTTTTTCATAGCAGAACATGCATGTTACTTGCCTGTCCCTCCATTTCTTCAAAAGAGCTTATGTGAGAGTCCAGAATCAGTTCAGCATCCCTTATTGTGGTGTATCTAGAGGTAGGATAAGTGATGACTGCATGCTATTTTCCAGGTGGTCCACACTCAGTAACCCAAGGCTCTCCAGCCACTCCCTCTTTCCTGAAAAGCTTGGCAGCCTGATGACCTCCATTCTGCAGAGCAAGGACAGATGTGGCTCCCCCTAGAGCACATCCGTCTGAGTTTGCAGGCACTGGTGAGGTCACACAAGAGCAGTGAGGTGTTCCTCTTTCCTTGTGGGACTGCCAGCCTGCTGGCTCGAGACACAGCAGAGTGCCCGTGTGTCAAAACACATTGCTCTTTCACAACTCCCACGTTAGGCATTTGATACATTTTTGTCCAAGAGGGAAAAAAGCTCCTGTTTTTTTTTCTTTCTTTCTTTTGGCTAAGGACTGAAAACTAATTTTTTTAACTGGTGAAGGAGAGTTACCCGTTTAAAAATAGCCTGGTTCACAATGCAGTTTTGATTTTGAAGCAGACCATGAGATGTTTACATCAAGGCCCTTCTGTTTTCATTCCTGTCTCCAGCTTTGAGCCCACACTGGCTCCAAAAGACCCTGAGCACTGCAAAGCTGCTGCTGTTCTGCAGTGAACCAGGCTGTACTGAGTCAACACAAGCTAGGAAGGAATAAGGCCAGCAGGGGCTCTAATACCAGCTCTGAGGGTGCCTTAACTGCTCAGTAACACTTCAGCTCTATACCCATCTCTCTTCCACAAGCCTGCTCTTTTTGATGGTGTTAGTGAGAAGCACACACAGACCCAGCTGACAGATAGTACTGCCCTTTCTGGGGACAGCACCTCCTGCTTACCAAAACTGTGTGTGCAGGGACTGGCAACCCACTGTGGGATAAGAAAGATTTATTTTCTGGTTGCACGAATGGGGATGCCACACCTGCCCACCTTTCCTTATCAAGATCACCTTCATGTAATGAAGAAAAGCCCTCCATTTCCCTAGAGCTTCCCTGGGGCAATGGCTGTCAGAACAAGCAGTTTCAGGATTAGCCTGTTGAACTGAAGGGGCAGTACACAGCTTTCAGAGATAATTCAGTTTATTTGCAGATACAGACAAATGTTACTCTGCACTCATGTGAAAGCATCGTACAAGCAGGGTAAGAGACAGATGAGTTCCTGACTGGCGGGAGACTCCAGAAAGCTGTCCTTCCTTTTTTTCTTCCTCAGCCTCCTGGATGCAGCTGAACAAGTCTGTCTGTCACATGCCACAATTATGGTACAAAATCAGCCTCAGAGTTTTGATCTGTAGATTCAGAGGGTTTTTGGAGGGAAATACCAGATATGGTGGTGCTTTAATTTTGATACTAGACAAAGTGACTATGGCTGGACCATTTGGTTTTCTGTAGTTGTTAAGGATGGAAAGGACAGCCAAGTGTTCGCTGTATGTGCAGGAGCACAATTAGCGTGTGTGCGTGGCTGTGCTTTCTCTAGCTCCAGTAAAGCTCATCTCCACTGCTAAAGGATGTTTTCGTCTTTCAAAGGCCCCAGATTGTACAAAAATAGCAAGAACTTCAAAGCTATTTCACGGGGAGCAGATGCTTAACCCAGAGAAAATTTATCTATCACCTATCCATGCTTAACTCACCAAGCATTTTATATTTGTTGTTGATCAACTGAGAGTAAAGTTTTAGCTGGGCAAAGGTGTGCTTTTGGGGGATAGTTCAACCCTTCATTCAAGTCTGAGCAACTCTAAGGCTGCTCCAGTTCCTTGCCATCTGCAATGGCAGTGAAGAAAGTGAGGCTCTTCGAAGTCAGGTCTACCCTGACCTTGTACCAGTCTCCTCCAGGAATTCCCCAGGATGGGAGCTAGGGCATAAAGCCAGAGCCAGTGTAAAGCAACTATACAAGGCCAAGACTCTGACCCTTGCTGTTTTGTAGGTTATCCAAAAAGCAATTAGCCAGAGGAATTTTCATCCTCAGCTCTAGCCAAAGAAAAAGAAGTCAGACTCCATTTCTGCAGCAGCCTGGGAAGACCTCAGGGGAGAAATGATAGGTGTGGATGTTTTCATATTAAAATTAATAAAATTATGGCTGAGAGTCAGTGAATTTTCAAGGAAAAATGGTAATGGTTAGTCATACTCAAGAAATCTGCATTGGTTTCAATTACTGTAGTTTATACAATCTGCTGTCTCCCTAGACAGAGACACTAAGCTGAATATTAACTTTTAAAGGGAGATCTCAGGGCTCAGGGAAGTGATTACGGGGACTTTCTATTAAGTTTTTAATTTCTCTAAAGCCATTCATTCTTAGATGCAATTTGAAATTCTGATATTAATCATTATTTCCTATGCCATCATTTCCTATACACAACCATAACTGATTTACTGCTGGCAAATCTAAAAGACTATAAAATACTGCTATTTGCATTCTAATATAATATTCTGAGAATTAATAAAATGCCTTCAGTTAATTCAACTACATATGTAAGAAACAACTCTCTGAAGAAGACAGAGTACTGAAAAATGCAAATAAGGTTACACATCAATCTTTGTTTTTACTACAGCAACACTTCTTATTTATTGCTGTAGCTACCTTTGAGCTACTGAATACAAGAGCAGCCACACTGTGTGAGGTCAAAAGGTTGTCTAGCTCAATATTTTCTCTCTAACAGTGGTTAAAAGTCTAGGAAATGATAATGTTTATAGGAATTAATTTTTATCTTAACAATAGTGATATCCTGCATCAAAGGCTTGCTCTCCTTGCTTCCCTGAGCTCAGGCTATGGAAACCTGAGCTCACAATGATCAAGAGCATATGGTGATGCGACCACCATCTCATATGATTCAGTTGCTGTCACTTTCACTATGATAAGATGGGTGCTTGAACGAGCCATAAGCGCTTGCCTAACTCACGCAAAGAACTGGCTGCTTTTGTGGAAACATCCCTTCTGTTCACAGAATCACAGACTGGCCAAGGTTGGAAGGGACCTCTGATGGTCATCTAGTCCAACCTCCCTGCTCAAGCAAGGAGTCATCTAGATCATATTGCACAGGATTGTGTCCAGGCAGGCTTTGACTATCTCCAGAGAAGGAGACTCCACAACCTCTCCGGGCAACCTGTTCCAGTGCTCACTCACCCTCCCAGGAAAGAAGTTTTTCCTCGTATTCAGATGGAACCTCCTGTGTTTCAGTTTGTGCCTGTTGCCCCTCATGCTGCTGCTCGGCACCACTGAGAAGAGTCTGGGCCCATCCTCTTGACACCCTCCCTGTAGATATTTGTATACATTGATGAGATCCCCTCTCAGTCTCCTCTTTTCCAGGCTGAACAGGCCCAATTCTGTCAGCCTTTCTTCATAGGAGAGATGCTCCAGTCCCTTAATTATCTTTGTAGCCCTCCACTGGACTCTCTCCAGGAGTGCCATGTCTCTCTTGTCAGGAGACCCTTGGCCTTCTTGGCCACCAGGGCACGTTGCTGGCTCATGGTTAGCTGGTTGTCCACCAGCACTCCCAGGTCCTTCTCTGCAGAGCTGCTTTCCAGCAGGTCAACCCCCAGCCTGTACTGCTGCATGGGGTTATTCCTCCCCAGCAGGTGCAGGACCTTGCACTTGCCTTTGTTGAACGTCAGGAGGTTCCTCTCCGCCCCTCTCTCCAGCCTGTCCAGGTCCCTCTGAATGGCAGCACAGTCTTCTGGTGTGTCA